CAGGGGCCTGGAGGCCAGTGTAGCCACGAGTGGAATGAGCCGGGGGCAGGCCTGGAACTGAGCCTGGGAGGGACGTGGGCGCGGGTGGGTAAGGACACTCCTCAGCAGCCCCCAGGCTGTCACTGTGCTCCCTGTCACCTCCTCTGTGCTCATGCTTGGGGTTGGTCACCTTAGCCAGGTGCCTCCTCCACCCAGGCCGAGCAGGACTCAGAGGTGGCTGGAAGGAGGGAACCAGGAGCCAGGAGCCACAAAGGTGACTGAGATTCTCTGGTAACTTCTGAGGGTAGCCTGAGTGGAGCACTGCACTGAGGCTCATCTCGCTTTGCTTCCTGAGTCTTTCCAGTCCTAAAAGCATTCCCAGTGCCCCTCAGAAAGAAGCAGAGATGACACAGCAGGCCTGGGTGCCCAGCAATGGGGACAACAGTCTTGACACAGAGGCTGAGATTTCATAACCCCTGGGCAATACCCTGAGGGATTTAGCCACCAGAATATAAGGGTCTAGCTAACTAGCCAAATTCTCATCTCTCCAAGTAGTATATAACTTAGGAAGGGTGTTTGTTTTCCTGTGAGCATTTTGGACTAACATAAAAAGTGATAAGTATCTGACTGAACTTTATCTTTTCCTGAAGCAGGAAGAAAGCAGAGGACAGAAAGCAAATATTTATTGAATACCTATTCTGAGCTTGGTTCTCTAAATGCCCTTGCTCACTGAATCCTATTATCAACTCCACTGTACAGTTAAAAAAAGGAGACTCAAAGACCAAATACATGTCCCAAAGTTACCATTTAATAATAAAAAAGTGTCATGATTTGTATCTGTTTACCGACTCTAGAGCCCAAACTGTCCATACTTGATTTCTATCTAAGCCTGTCCCCTGGATCAGAACATAGTTTGGGATTAATGCTGGGGTAATTCACATAGGAGAGAAGTCCTACACTTTTGGGAGACAATGATTAAACATTAATCAGCATAATAAGATCACATGGAAGGGTCTTGTGGTGACCCCAACAGCAGAAAACTAGGGCTAGGCTGGGACAGTGTGGTGGTGTTTTACACAGGTCTTTGCCAACTCAGAGCATCCCTCAGGCCCCGGGGGGAGGGCTGGGGAAGGGAGAGTGTGAGGTGAAGGGTGTAAGGGAGCTGTCCCTATGTCCACTGTCCTGCAGCCTCATGTGGCAAGCATGATGGGGATCAGTCCAACACGGTAAGCCTCAGGCTCCCGCTGCTAGCCAGTGCAAAAGTGACTCTGGGGTCAACCAGGTGCCACCTGAGAAAATCTCATGGCCTCTCAGGATTCCTGAGCATTATGGAGTCAATTCACTAAAGGGCAGCCCCAGGCCCTTGACATTCAGCACAGCTCCCTGGCAGGGCGATGAAGATGTTCTCATTAACTGGAATGTACGTAGTCAGGGCTCAATGGATATTTGTTGAATTTTGTAGTTGAGTGACAATAAGGTAGCATGGAGTAAGCTGCCACAGAAAGCCTGGAACTCAAAGTCCCCTCTCGTCTGCCAAGCCCAAAGCTTAGCTCTATACTTGCATCACTTGGCCCCTGGCAGCCCCTGTAGGATCTGTGTCCTGATCCTGAAGATTAGGGGGCCCGGCAAGGTGAAATGTTTCCCCGAGGTCACCTGCGGGATCCCTAACTGTGAAGTCCCTACACAAGGGCGCCTCCCCAGCAAACCCATTCCCTCTCTGTGCATGTGGAGGGCGGCAGGCATCAATGCCCCATGGGAGAGCTTGCGAGAGCTCAGCAAGCCGAGAGCTCAGGGCACTTCTTTCCTTTAGTCTTGGCATTTGCACGTGGCCCGCTTTTTGGAGTGGGACGACTATGAAGCTATAAAATATGCTTTTTATAGCTGCTTTACCAAAAGTAATTATTCATTCTCTTCTTAAATGAAGCAAGGACTTTGGTTTTAGAATGGCTCTGATTAATGCAATTTTAACAGGACTGTTCAAAAGCCAATGCTGAAGGTAAAAAATCTTGCTTTGATCCACCTGCTTCCTGCCTTTTTAAATCTGATCAATCCCATCACCATGATGCTTTTGAAAGGTAAGTGAGCATCATCCATGGATTTTAGAGACCCCTCTTCCCTTGCTGACTCCAGAGTGGAACACATGCAAACAACAAAGCATTCCAGGCAGGCAAAATCAAGCTGGTCTGAAGGAGTGATGCCAAGCCCAGAGTCACTTGAGGTGTGATATAAACGGAGGTTGTCAGATGGAACCAGCATCCCCGGCATGGGAACAAATGAGCTGGTCAGATGCACATGGAAGGGAAATGTCAGGCAAGCAGTGTGGGCAAGAGGAAATATGAACGGAGCAGGAGAGAGGCATGATTCCTCACCCATGTCCTTCAGAGGCTTTGTTTGAAGAGGTTTAGAGGTAAGAGCTGCAGAGAGAACAGGGGCTTGGTAGGGGTGCCTGTGCCCTAACCCAAGCAGACGGCAAAAGTAGGTGCTCCTAAAAAGGTTATGTGAACATGGCAGGGGATGGATGTCACAGCACAATTTTCGGTGGGAATCATGTGCAGCGGTCTCTAACTCTCCACATTAATCCATAGGATTCAAGAAAAAAAAAAGTCCTTGAAAAACACCCTGAGATACACACTTCCTACCTGACTTCCTGTGGGAACAGCCACATTCTGTGGCTGGAGACCACCCCCTGAGACCCTCTTGTGCCTGGTGCCTTTGCCCCTCAATCTTAACTCACATGCCATCTCCCCAGAAGCCCTCATGACCACAGACACCTCAACAGTGACGCCCGCTCACACCCCAGACACCATCGTTGTACCCCCAACCTAATTCCAAGTAAGAACAATGCCAACCACAGAATGAGTCTAAGAAAGCCTGAGTTCTAATTTTCCCCATGAGAATTACTTTACTGCTTCTTTTGAAATGCCAAACACGAAGGTCTATCATTGAATATTTTGGAGCCCTTACTAAATGCCTACTCTAGCTCCCTGGTGACCAGGGTTGTTCTCTGAGGCTGACTCTGGAACACTTATTTCTTAACTTGCTACTGCCTGTCTCTCCCACCAGACTTGAGGCTCTGGAGCGCAACAGGTCTGTCTGTGGCCCCTGGGTGTAGCACGGTGCCCAGCAGAGTTGGAGGCTAGTACATCTTGTTGGTAAGTGGACAAATGCCTCTCTATCCTCTTGTCCAATGCGCTCTGGGCTTCACCCTGGAGTTGAGTGCCCCAGGCAGAGGCTTGTAGAACACAGTAGGTTATGATGGTGGTGGGAAAGGCAGGCCTTTGCTCACGCCAGGGGAAGCTGGGGGCTCCAGCACTCTGCAGTGGTCAGTGCAAATTGAGCTCTCCTGGCTCGAAGAGCCTCCTCCAACACAATTCTGTGAGGACGCTGTGTCTGTTCCTGGAGCTGGCTGAGCTCAGAGAAGCCTGGAGCCATAACAGAGTCTGTCTCCTTAGCAAGAGCCCAACCAGAACCCGGGAGGTCGAGAGGGGTCCCTGCTCTTGGTGACAAGTGACAGCACAGAGCGTCACAGGCCCCCAGGGCGTTCTTCTCTCAAAGGAGGCTCTCCAGAGTCCATTGGGCAGAGAAGTGAGCAAAGTGGGGGCTCTGTCTGACATTGCACTCCAGGCAGCCTGTCACTCCAGGCCACAGACTGAGAGAGCCAGAGAGGAAGAGGCGGAGGGGGAAGGTAAGGGGGGACAGGTTTGGCTGCAGCTTCCTGGGAAACTGCATCAGCCAGATGACAATCAGAATTAGCATCAGAACACCTTGATGAAAGGAAGGAAGAAAGAGTTGAATCCATGAATGAAAAATAGATTATTCACTGTCACTCTGAACAATGGAACAAGACATAAATAGCAGCCATGTGCAGGACATGCCAATTTTGCTCAAAAATGGTGTGCACGGTACTCCAGCGGCCCTCCAGAAAGCTCAGTAGCACAGCCAAGTTCTGCACTGAGCAGATGGGGCAGAGGAAGACTAACAATGGCCTCTCAGAAGTGGGAAGGACGTGGGCTTGAAGTCAGAGATTCAGAGTTCTAGCTCTGTTATTCACAACCGTTATTTACAACAGCGCCCACATGAGGCAGGGGGTGCAGAGCGGGGAGCAGGACAGATAGGAAACAGAAGATGGAAGGTGGAAGGAGAGGCCCGAGCCACCAGCCTCAGGTAAGTGACTGTGCCTCTTGGAGCTTGGGCTCCAACATCAGGAAGACAGTTGAGATAAAGAGTGATGGGGCTGGTAAAGCTATCAAGGGCCACTGCTGTTACTGAACTGGGCAGAGGTAAGTGTTCCAGGGCCCCGACCCTGCCCAGCACCGGGAGAAGTCTGTCAGTGGAAGCAAGGAAGGAGGGACGCCCACGGATAAGAATGGAGCCCGTCGGTTGTAGTTAGTAAGGGACCATAAGGGTGTACAGGGCCATCATCACCTTAGTCCTCTCCACACTTGACAATCAAGGAGGCCCGGGATGGCCAGAAACCAGGCCCCTCCGCATCTCACTGGGCTCTGCTAGGACAATTCTGCCGGCAAATGCTATTTAGTCTGTCACCAGCCCGGGTCCCTCTCTGCAAGACTGACCTGGCCCTAAGCACACGTGTCTGTGCCCTCTGGTGCTCCAGAGCACAGGGCTGCAGCACGCTGGCTTCTGGGTGGGCCCTACCGCCCCTTCCCTGTGAGCTGAAGGGGTCTCTGCAGCAGCCTCCTCTGATGATCCCCCTCTCCCAGGGCCTGTCAATCTTGGAGAGACTTCACTCCTCTGCACCTGAGTTGCCACGGAGAGACACCATGACTCACCTAGGTGACAGAGGGTCCTGCACCTGTTACCCAGAGAGTGCCCTGGCAGCTCTCGGGTGCAGCTATGTGTCAGGCTGTGTGCCATCTCCTTCCATTCAACAAAAACTCAGGAAGTAGGAATAACTGCTCTCCCCACTTACTGAGGCACAATGGGGAGGAGCTTGGGCACTCGGGAAGGAGCCAGGATTCAAATGGAGGGTGGGTGACAATGTTCACAGGGGCCCTCCTTACCTTGGTGAAGGTCAGACAGTCCTTGTCCTGGTCTCTGTCCTTCATCTCGAAATCATAAAGTGCTTTGCCCTGGGGCGGGGTCTGCGGCAAGGGCCGGACGCACTGGATGTAGCTGGCGGGCAGGAAGCCGTGTGCCCCGTGCAGCTCCCCATGGTACCAGTGCTCGTCCACCCTGCGCCGCAGGATGATGATGTCGCCCTTGCTGAACTTGAGGTCGCCGGGTTCTTTCCCCTCGTAACTGTAGAGTGCCTTCCCATAGGGAAGCTGGGAAAGAGTCTGAAAGCAAAACATAGCATCTGGTTACTCAGCATGGCCTTCCTGCTGCCCTGTTAGATCTGTCTGGGATGGGGGGCTCCTGTGCTGTGGGCACGTACAGAATGTCCCAGAGTGGTAAGTACTTCAAAAGAACAGACACCCTATATGGGGATACTCAAGCCCATGGCCCTGCTGAGACAAAACGGCCCCCATAATGGCAGTCCCCCCTCAAATAGTGCGTGTGAGAGGGGGGCCAAGCATGGTCCTGGACTGTCCACAGGAACCAACTCACTCTGCTGAAAAGGACTCTGGAACAGAAGCTAAACTACTATCATTTATAGGTGAGGAACTGAGGCATGGAGAAAGAGAAAGTAACTGGCCCAAAGCCCCACCCCCGTAAGGATAGCGGAATCCCTACCCAGGTGGGCTGGCTCTGATATTCTCATTCACTGCTCTGTGCTAAATTGTCTTCCACTGCGTGCTATTTCTAGCTGCCAGACTTCCAACAATTATTGTCCAATAACATTTTCCTGACTTCATCTCCGAACCTTCACAGCGACTCAGAACACATGTCAAGGGGCTTCTCAGGTCAAGGGGACAGACCCACACCTACTGTGGGACCTTCCCACTCACAGCCTTAAAGCCAAGGGCATACACCTGTGACATCCAGCCCAGAGGGACAGTGTGGCCATGGAAGGTGGAGGCCACCCCCGGGACATTGGTCCCCAATGCACTAGGAGTTCTAACAAGTGGTCCCTGCCTGTCACAACACACCCCCCACCATACACATACCAATGACAAATAGCTTTTTGATGCATATGGCAGTCTGGTCCAGAAGCACAATTTCAAGACCATAAAATAGTATCCTCTCAATGTCATGGGATGCTCTTGTCATCCTGTCAAAGATTAGCCAACCTTTCTGAAAGTGATCTGCCATCTTTGGTCTCTAATGGTGAATGACTGGTTCTGAAACCAAAACAGAATTTGTGGCAATCTTCTGCTCTTCTGCAATAAGGAGTCTGTTGAACCACCCTGAAACTTGATGTCACCATCCACTTCCCGGGCTCCTCAACTTAATTGGACCTGTCTCATAAAGACCAGTGGCCTCCTGGGTTTCTATTCCTCTTCCATATGGGTGGCCAACAACCATCAACTGAGTAAGCTCTGTCAGAGGCCAAGTCTCTGCCAGAGGAAAACCAAAGGAAAACCCACTACTGTCCCTGTGGCAATACCCAACAATTTCCCTGACAGAAGCTGCATTTTCTTACCAGGGCTGTCTATGCCAAGGATTTCTTTAGTATTCAAATCAATCAATAGAACCACAAAAGCCTGCAGCAGTAGTACATCGAAAAGCTCTTTGTAGGGGACTTAATAACATGTTGGCAACTCAATCACTCTGCATTTATGTTTCAGCAATGTCAAATGACAGCAGTTAAGAGAGAACCTGCTGGCAAATTGACAAACAGCTACCGCTAACCAATTAAATAGTAACACCAGAGGATTTTTCGTTGCAGAACTCAATGAGGAAAAAAAAAATCAATTTGCTTCCAATAATACTCATCCTGGCTAGCTTTGTACGATAAGCACAATAGCCTGTAACAGGCCCTGATTTCAGACGGCTGAGGCAAAGCGGTGATTTGCAGAACAAGGACTGTGATCAGAAAAGAATGGAAGGGGCTGTTGGCTGTGAATCACCCGAAGGACCTCAGACACACAAAGGCCAGTCAGCCCCTGGCCCAGGGGTTCTCAGGGAGGAACAGTTTTGTCCCCCAGGGAATATCTGGCAATGTGTGAAGACATTTTTGCTTGTCACAGCTGGGAGGTGGGATGTTATTGGCCTCTAATGTGTAGAGGCGAGGGATGCTGCTAATCGTCCGGCAATGCACGGGGCAGCCCCCACAGCAAAGGACTGCCCCGCCCAGAACATTAACAGTGCCGAGGCTGAGAAACTCTGACCCAGCCTGTGAGGTTAAATTTACAATAAGACAGGGTAGCTTTCTTGTTCTATTTGAACTTAGTCTCTCACAACTTTAGAAGTTAAATATAACACTGACTTCCGTGATGGGACTCTTGTCACTACCGAGCACAGGAGAGGCTGAGACACCCATCAAGATAAGAGGCGTGAGAGGGACAGTAAGGAGAGAACCGGCTGTCAACTTGAAAATGGGCTTCAGCTCGGTGCACAACAGGAACCTTTGCTTTGCCTCCGGCCCCATTTCCTTTCACCCCCAGACCAAGCGGGGAGTGATCAAAGGCAATGTTTGGAGACCCAAAGACACTTGGGGTAGCTAGTAAATTTGCTACTCTTCATAACAAAGGAGAGCAAGAAAGGCCAGATTTGCACCTTTGCTTCGACGGGCTCTGCACCCCTCTGTGCGCTTGCATGCTGCTTGAACATTCGCACATCCCCATTCTCCCCGTGTAGCAGAGCCACTAGCATTCCCACTCTGGCCTGCCCCCACCAGCTCTGCCGGCTCCGTCGACACAGACGCCACTCGCCAGCACACTCCTATGCATGCTGTGCAATCCCGGCCCCCACCTGCCCGGGTGCAGCGAAGAGCCTGGGTGTAGTGACAAGAAACTGAGGCCCTTCCCATGCGGGAGGCCTGGCTCCGGGGCTGGTGCTCTTGAGTAGTGTGTCCTCCCAGTTCCTGTGAGGCACGTACTGCAGATGTTCAGGGGACCTGGTCTTTCACTGACTCTCCAGAATGGGCCTGTCCCCACCCATCTGGGCACCGTGGCCCCAGGCCTCCTGTACAGCCCAACACCTTCCACGGCCCAAACTCTGCCTGCCTCTCTCTCTGCTTCCAACATCCCTTCCAAGTGGTGGACTTTGTTCCAATCTAATCGCTTTCTCAACTTCTTGATCTGACGTCCCATGGCTGTCCCGAGAGCCTCCAACACTGCATTCCTCACCCTGGCCAGGGAACGCCTGCCCACCACCAAGCATGTACCCTCGGTGGCCCGTATGCCCACCCTCTCCCTCCACCTTAGCACTCATCCTCAAGTCCTACTGCCCTACTGGTAAGCGAGCCCTCAGGGAAACACCAGGCCTGCTTCCACCCGCCATGGCCAGGCCCTTCCTCTCTTCCACCTACACCACTGCAAACCTCCACCAGTGAGCCCTCAGGCCCAATCAGCCCACTGTGAGGCTGGATGCCTGAACACAGAGCTGATCCTACCCCCTGGGGCTCAGGAGCTTTCAGTGGCTACCTACTACCCTCAGGGAGGGGCACCAAGCTCCTCAGCATGGCATTCAGACTCCCCCACATGGCCTCAGCTCAGCTTCCAGCCACTGCTCGCTCCCGACATTCTTCTCCACAGCCCGTGCCAACCACAGGGGCAGCATCCTTGCTCAAAAAGAGCTCCTGCTTCTGGAACCTCTGGGGCTTGCCTACCACCTTGGCCCCTCCCTCTTCCTTCCAAACCTGGCAGCAGCAGCCTGTGTTCTCCTATGTCCTGGGAGCTTCTATTCCATCACACCCCTACCACACTAGTCCCTATTAAACCAAGCCCCAGGACAGGAGTGTCCGGCACATGGTAGGTGTCCTATGCATGTTTGCTCATTCAGCTGGGCTCAGTTTATTCCTGAGATAGAGCCTGGGTGGGGCTGGAGGTGAGGAAAGTCAGAAATGACAGATTTGACATGACACCCCTTGTAAAGCAGCATGCCCCCCAGAGATCCAGGGTAAGGGTGCTGATCCCAGCTCCACATGCAGGAGCAGAAGAGCAGATGTGCTAGTGGGTAGACCAGGGAAGGAGAGGGGCCAGGGACGTCTGAAGCAGCAGAAGCAGGGCAGGAGTGGCTTGCACGCATGGCCGCCCAGTCGGGGCCAGCCATCTCGTGACCCTGAGGTCAGATCACAGGGCTCAGAGCACACAGCACAGCCCTGCTGGCCCAGCCATGGTCTGGTCAGGCAGCCATGCTCTGGTCTGTGCCTGTGGGTGGGCAAGGACAGGGCGAGCGGAGAGAGGGAGCCATGGAGAAGGGAAGGGGGAGAGGCAGGCAGTACAGCCCACCTGAGAATTCCCTCCCCACACTGCCAAGATCAGCACCTGAGGGAGCAAAACTGAGATGCAGGACATACTTCTGAGGGCAATGATAAAAGTCAGGGACAACGCCAAGAGGCGGTTTCTTTAGGGGGGCAGAGCAGCCGGAACCTGGTTCTCACTGTGAGGAAAGGCTCTGAAATGGGGACTCTCAGACCTCCGAGGCGCCTGTCATCTTTAAAGCCCTTTCTAAGATTAACTTAATTAGTCCATGACAGGGCCTGGAGGCAGCACCCGCGAGGACCCTCCCAGCCCAAGGAAACTGAGCGGGTTTCCGTGTAGCCATTACCTCTCTGCCCGCAGACTGCTCCTTATAACCCATCAGCTGTGTGTGCTCCCCTCTGGAGGAATCCCATTCAAACAATGCCACTGAGCCGGCATTCTATGGGCTCAAGACATTAAGGAAAAGAAATAAAAGGAAAAGGGAAATACATCTGGGATGCCTACAGGATAATTAACACCAGCCACCCCTGCAAGGCATTAATAATAATTAAAACTTATAATGTCAATTTCATGGCTCATTACTCGGATGTAGCACACAAATCTTACTGTGGGCTTAATGTCCTACCCTGTGGAGACTTGGGTGCTCACGCATACACAGCAGCACCATCTCCATCTTTTATGGAGATCACCGTGGCAGCGGGGTTTGACAAATGTGCCTTCATTACAGCATGCTGCTGACAAGGCTCTAAGTCGCGCTGGCTTCCCTGGGCGTGGGGCCTGGAGCGTGTAGGGGAGGGCAGCGTGGCAGGGCCAGGTGTCACTCCTTCACATCCCCCAGCAAGCTCCGGTAACAGTGTGGACAAAGAACTCGCCCATGTTTTAGACTCTAAGGACTCAACCAGTCTCCCTTACTCAGAGCTTCCCAGGCAACACCTGTAGTGAGCATAGCTTCTAACTGCATGTTACCAGTGGAGGGCCCCCCTGGCCCATCAGCCCCAGGAGGACAGATAACATGCCTATTTTTTGTT